CGCATTGAAGCTGTGCATAAGCGAGCCACTGCAAGCCGGTCAGAATCACTAGATCAGCCAACGTGAATTATCAGTATAAGATGGTTGAGGTTTGCATTACGAGTGCCCAACCACCGGTTACTTTTTCATTTCAAGCCATTACTGGCGAAAATTCGTGAAAAACAGATAATAACTTTGCAAAGCAAACTGAAGGCAACTGTAGTCAAACTGGGTATTATTGGGATTTCGCGCATTCTTGTCCATACGTGGGTAAAAACCATACGGGATATAGCAAGTAGTCGACCTCATTCGCGAGCATATTTTCATCTCCTAGCCGAAGATCTATCACTGTTTGCTGAGCACGCGTTAGCAGAAGTTCGCAAATGATCATGGGTGGATCTGTCTGGTGATTTATTACTGTGATCTTACACCCACTTTTGGCTAATTCACTAGTGTCACAGGGTGTATGTGTCTTGTTTCCGAACTGAATCTTCACCCTTCTACTCACTAAGAGACCAGAGAGTTCTTTCCCATATTTTTGTGGAAATCGGGCACCAGTATTTACTAGTTGCGCAATATTGTCGACGTCGCGCAGCTGGTTTTCAAACAAATTCTTCGTAAGAATTACAATAAGTAGACCACTGATAAAACAAGAAGCAAATTACCTATCACGAACTGACAAAAACGTGGGTTCTCAGACATGAGCTCCTTGGGATATCTGGGTTGTTACCTCTCTGAGTTACCGGACTGGATCATCCTAACTGTTATAGCTCTCATTAGTGACCGATTGCTCAAACGTTTTACTGAATCATTAATGCTTCTAACTGGTACGGAAATACAAATGAACAGTAACTCCTTGTATTTAAGCTGGACGTGCAGACAAAATACATAAGTTGTGTGTTGACGGAGATCAAACACGATCAAGGTAAATTACACATCGTCTGCATGCTATTCGACCGAGTAAATCAAATTAATAACAACGAAAGGTCGAAAAGTGAGACAGTAACAGCCACACTTCCTACAACTCATTATCTCCATTAAAAGTATAATTAGTGGTGACCGATCAAAACCGTCATTCGACATACCACGGGCTACACGGATATCTGTAAACAGAGGTGCCTGGTGATTATAAACCAACTAATTATGAGACTGTATGAAACTGCGACAATTAGCCGCTAGAAGAATTTAACTCAGGTTGAAATGTATTTTCTGCTAAAATGAGAATAAACTGATACTTCTGTCCCTGGTTTTGATGGTGGTATTTTGTTGTATTGCTGGAGGGAGGGCAATTGTCGTAGCACTCCGAATATATTTGAGTGAATTTCACAAGTACTGGAATTCACGGTGGAGAATGTTGTCGTCCCGGCCAGTATACTTCTACAAAAGAAACAAGTTCTTGCCAACACAAATTTTGCAACGGTAACTGCCTCAGCTAACGGAAACAGCCGTTTGTCGGCTGCCTGATGCAAAATCGAAAATGCTGTCAGTGTTCACACTGTAGCAGTTTCTAGCAGATGCCTTACGACTGTCTTAATTGTGATCAGTACTAGAGGTAGACATCATTTACTGATTGACGACCTTTCTGACTGATTTTCAGAGATTCTAACCCACCTTTACTTTTTCTCAAGGTAGATGGCCAGACATTCACATGTGAACCCATAAATAAAACACCGGAAAATTGTGGTAAAAGCATTTTAAATGCATGACTTGGACCCGGTTGAGGGGGAAGGAGGAAAACATTTATTGGAAGGAAATGGAGAAACGTGCACACACCATACACTGAGTGTACTTTCTCTCTTTGGATGTATGTGACATAACAGTGTCAGACGAATAAAAAAACAGAACAAGAGTCTTCGGCATTACGAAGTTGGAATAAGTCAATCACGATACGACCTATTCTTCCTGTTTGTGCAGTTCTAATTCCCATCTTCAGGTAGTAATGGATCAAGCAAACTCTAGCACCCTACCGTTCGTAGTCCTGCGCACGGCGTGGAGCGAAGCTGCTGGGTCTTCAGCCCAGGACTGCTAAAGATAGACGGAAATTCAGACAAGACCACCTCCCAGTCAATGTACCCCAATGCCGGTGCTGTCGTGTTCATTTATCACTTGATCGCTGAAGTATTAAGAATTAGCAGCCTGGAGACTGTCAACATATCAGATGTGAAGCAGGGGTTGTTGGATTTAGGTCTGGTCGCACTGTGGTGGAGTGATTTGTTTGTCGGAGGATGCGTTTCATGGTAAATTCGATTCATATTTAGCCTCATTATATGCAGTGCAGTAGTACCTGATGAGACGTTGAAAGATATCCGGAACTTGATGCACAACTTCGCTGGTTTGTGCTCCCTGCAAGTTCTTTAGGAGAGAATCAGTTGTCTCAAACCGTCATCATACTAAGTTTTCCTTGGTAAAGTTGCCAACACACAAGAGTGATACCGAAATTTCGCGTACCAACAATTTACCTTTAACCCTTATATTTTCAGCCCTTACTTTTACGCGGGTATAGCTTCCTACCTCAGACCATAAATTCAAATGACTCGACCGATCCGATTCGACCTTTGCGAACCTCACGAGTACAGTGGATCGAAGGCACTATTATCAATTCGGGCATGGGACGCAGAAAAATAAACTGCTGTGGTGTGTATCCGGATATCATTCAACAAAGCCGATCTTCTTCGTCTAGCTCCTCTTCAGACAGCTCCAGTGATGATGAGGGAGACAAACCACCAAAAGCGTACAGATGTGGTAAAAATTGCTATGGCCATCCCATTGTTACATTTCCCAGTTCAAACAGTCCTCAACCACCTACTATACCAACGCCAGAATTCACGAGGGACCAAATCTACGGTGGACACATTCGGTTCATTGTTAAATCTTCCCAAAATTCTGACAGGGAATCGAAAAAAGAAACAACCACACAGGATAGCGAGTGAAAATAATCAAGCAAAGAAGCACAGTAATCGATACTGTTCAAATATTATTTTCCTCTCCACCAATCCGTTATTAATATACTGCCTCTAGGCACTAGCAGATGGACTGGACGTACGGCATTGTGAACCACATCGAATTTTGATGGCTGGTGTGAATGATTCCATTTTGCAGACGCATGGCCCACTACTGCACACGCATCCACATGTTGCGCAAGCCCAAATGGTCTAGGCCGCATTGAAAAGATTCAGTTCCCTCCGAATGGCTCGCTTGGTTTCTAGGGTTGGAACACGTCGAATCTCAGCTTTTCAAGTTGTAGCACATATAGGTTTTACAGGTGTAGAGATCAGAGACCTATTTTCGGTGATCCTCTCAGGCAGTCTCTCTCAAACGTGGCAAATACAGTATTTCAACTCACAACAGCAAGCATCCATCCAAGGTTGAACAATAAAAAGCATACGAAAGGTACTGGTGTATGAGTTGTTACGATTATTGTATCAAGATCACAGTCGCGTTGCGCGTAAACAAGGTTGCTCAAATCTCTACCCAAAACTTCTTCAATCACATTGGTGGAGAAATACCGCCTGGTGGCGCTTGGATGCTATTAGTATTGTGATGAAAGACTTTTATACTGCAGTTGCCAGAAGAGGCCCAAAGCTCTTCCTGACATCGTACTCGGCCGAAGTTCCATTACGGTCATGAGCCATATCAAACAACACTCATTGACCCACAAGTGTGCTGGTGAGTACGTGTCTTGAATGTTCGAAGATAAAAGGTGCAATGGAGGAACATCAGAAATTAGAGAAGGCACTAAAATTGGCTGATTCGGGACATCATAACGACCAACAGTTGCACTGGAAATGAGGTGGTGTAAACTCCGTAAAATGATTGTGTTGAAGCATGTACGTCGAAATGTCATTTCGAGTTGTTAACTGAACCAGTTACACTCAAACTGACGCCAAACAGACAAGTAGTCGAAACGTTATAGCCCCTTGTCCGTACGAGTAGCGCTAGCATATGTGGGAGCTGTCGTCTTGGTTATGAGGCCTCCATCAGCCCATCTGGCGTACGCAGCCTTCTCTGTCACTGCACGTCTTCTTAACAACCGTCCTAGATCCTCCAGGCCCAGAGCCTTAGTAGGGCGTAGCAACAGTGATGATTCTGCAAGTGCAAGCTATATGTATACCAACGCTAACGAACGGTTACTGATCACGAATGTTTCACGCGTGGGAAATGTGGCTAAAGCACATTGAGCAAGTAATCAGCCAATGGTCGCATCAGGTATAGCGTTGTGTTAGTGTGGAGGAGGTCGGTCATTCACTCACCTCAGAATGATGGTCGCAACGACCCGATAAGCAGCATACTCACCATATTTAAGGAGTCTGTCTCTTGTGGCAAGATGAGTCGGATTCACAAATGCACCGTGGTGTTGCTGACCGTTACCAGCAGTCTCACAGTTCCACCAATGCTATGCGCGAGACCAGTAGAAACCAGTGGCGAAAATGTCTAAGTAATAACTAGTTGGAGGATTAACATTTAACACAAAGCAGTTCTTCATTGAATCGGGTGAACGAACCGGTGTCTAGAGATTTTACTTCCAAACCATTTTCTGCTATCAACCACAAAATCCAAATGCCATCACCGAATACAAGGTCGAACAGACCTATTACCTACGGAGTACAATCTTAACCTTTTTATTCTTCTCTGTCCATGGACTGACCAAAAGATCCAAACATATTTACTCGGAAAATGCGCTACAACCAGAGCACTTTAAGTGCCATATGAGGGCTTGGTGCAAAGGAAATTATGACATCTTAGTCTGCCTACACCTACAGTGCGGAGCAGTAACAATCACGTCACATGCCGAGAAGCGGAGACATAAATTAACGCAGTCGCTTTCACTGTGATTGCTCTGTAATTAGCTACCTTACGTGTTCTCACCTGAGTTCTACTGTACCAATTTTCTAAAGACAAATCCTCGAGCTAAAAAACCTAGACTTCTTTTGTACAGCCTGCATTGACCTTCTGAGTAAATTTTGCTCCATTTTCTTAGGTCTGTGTAATTGAGGGGAAAATTGAATTGGATGACGAGGTGTTTCCGTCTCCAGTATTCTATTTCTAAGCATCATGATGACTGTCAATCGGACATGGATGTACATCCTGGCCCACGAAGTCCTGCAACCGGGATTATAAGAAGGCGCTGCCTCGTGAGCGAAAACAATGTCAAAAGGGGTAGCTGATGTCGTCCTGGTCGATTTCACATTAGAAGTGGTGATGCAATGCATCAAAAAAGCCTTATCTTAACTTTCAAAAAATTGACGTAGACGACACCCACTGTGTCGTAGAAAAATATAAATCGTTACTCAGTGTGCCAAACGAAAGCCTTGGGAGATGAGTAAGAAAGGCTAAACCGACCGATCATCCAAATATATCACATGGAAAAGGCTATATGAACTGACGAGCACAGGTGGGCAACGCGAAACAAAATATGTTGAACACAGCCGAATAAACGTGAGAATCCTTCATAAAACAAAACAGAATGTCGCAAGTTTGTTCCACCAATAACAGTCGTGAAAAAATAAGAGGAGCATAAGCGAGTGATCACACGATGCATGAAATCCGAATTTACAGCCTCTGACCGGATTGAAAAAACGGGAGATTCTATGGTGTAGTCTTGAACAGATAATGAAAGGGATTTCTGAAGCTTTTAAATAATTCACGAAGCTTTGGAATCTCGCAGATCGCAGAAAGCGGAACATTGTCTCACATATCCGCTTCCGGATCATAATCGTCTTCGGGAACGATGAAACTATGTGGCGCATAGATAGGATTGGTAAAGCCTGTTTGAGCACGGTCAACTGGGCCAACCGGAGGAGTATATATGTAACCCGGACTGTCAGATGCGTCATTGTTTCCCGCGACTGGCTGATTGAGAAGGAGACGTGACTGGTCTGGATTAGCGACCTTTTCTGAAGTCCCCTTGGATTTGTTATTGTGGGCAGCTCTAACGTACCCATTGGTGCTATCGTTGACATGGACTGGTTGAACACAAGAAACAGTGTCTGGTGGAACAAACTGTACAGATGAGCGATGCACCCGGCTGGAACTGAAACGTTTTGGGGAGAAGTAACGTCGGTAACCTGAGCGGAAAGGTGCATAGCCTCGCCAAAAACCGACAGCCAGGATGATAACAGCGCCCAGAAGAAACATCAATATGATTGCTGTGGTCACCGGTCCCAGAAGGTAGAAACGTCGCAGGATATGTGGACACGGTATGAGATCACATTCCTGGAAGAGAAACAAAGTAGTCTGTGAGAAATTGGTATTTTAGCCACGTGTCTACTTGAGTTCTGTATGCTTGAATGTATTAGTCATGAATTATGTATACGAATGAAACACCCATACGCCAAAGGCTGATATAAGTTTGGTGTCACAATGTAACTCGGAAGAAACGCGCCATTCCCTAGTGTAAATCGTTCCCATTAATGCTGGGCTGTCATCCGTTGGTAGGTTTGATCAACAAAACGTGGAAACTCAGGAGACAGTGCAATTGCACGAACACGGACCAACTAGGCGTAAAAAGATCGGTGTTTTGTTTTGTGGGTTAGTGAGCTAGACGCAGTCCGAAAGTCAACCCTAGGGGAGCTAGGAGTGCAAGGGACGAGCGAGCTTTCAAGTTTTATCGCACAAGATTTTACCTTATACATCCGTTGAGGGTGAGACTAGCATGCGTAACAAACATAAGATAAATTGATCTAAGAGCTCAGTTTAAACTCCTGTTTGAACCTAAATTCAATTTGAGGGAATCTCAGCACGCATCATAGTATTTATACTAGATGAATGTTAGTATCCATAAGGGATAAGTATCGATAATGTTAGTATCGATAAAGAATCAGGAAATATAGACCCAAGCATACACAGTGCAAAGGGACCGCCTCGTTTATGTTCTGTCCAAGGATTCGTTTGCATTAGATACTTGTGTCTAAATTCAAGAATATTAATATAATCAGGCTTGACACGAGAATAACTGCAAGTGTAAAACGGAAACAGCAGCGCACACTTTAACTGTGAATTTTGCGAAAAATCGCATAGCAAAACTCACTTCAGATGTAAGGGGATCCAAGCTAACGTAGCACTCGTACTTGTATTCTCGAAGTTGTACATGGTAGAGCACAGAACAGTAATTTTCCGCGTAAGATGCAAAACCATCGGCACCAACTATTTCCGTCATATGCAAACGATGTTTCAACCAACTGGAGTCCAGACGAAAGTCGGTAAGGTTATTTGGCACAAGGTCCCACCTAGAAGTGAAATAAAATTAACATAGAAATGCAGCGGATAAGTTACTCCAAAATACGCACCATTAGCGATGCCTAGACTAACCAGATCAGACATATTGGGGACCAGGCGTAGAATCAAGCCACGGTCGTTTCACGAAGATAAAAAATGGATGGATCACGAAAGGGATAGAACTCAAAGTATAGAACTTTTAAAATCGTTTAGCATCGGCGCCCTTCTAAAAAAAATAAGGACTAAAATGCTGTGAATTTAACAAACTTTGCATGGAAGCAATCGGGAAGCCATGGTTGGGATCCATCTAAGGAACTACCGGTCGGTAGATTCGCGCCTTAACGACCGAGCTTTTGTTAGAACATTTGAAACTGAATGAAGTGGAACTAATTGACTCACTGGCAAAAAAGGTTTATGCTTGGTAAGTTACATCGAAAAGCGAGAGTCATTCAAATGAAATTAAACTTAATGGAATTTTCGGGAAATGTTAAATCTATTTACCAGGGCTCTATCATCGAGATAAATCGAAATTTGCCAAACCGCTGAGTGACCGCCAAGTAACCAGTAGATTAATTAACTTCTCTTCATATTGACTGGGACCGGAAAAAATTGCAAAATACCCATCCATGTGTACCAGATTTTCTCAATAGACGAAGATACTACCTCTTAATAAGTCTACGAGTTTTAATGGTTCCGCGCTCACGGACAAGTCTGATTAAGTATCTCTTCGTTGTTTTTAGAAACCAATAAAATTCATTTGCACGGGTAATATCTTCAAGATGATCAATCGATTGCCGTTCAGTTCAAGTCAAGTTTGGTGCTACGCTGCACGAGAAGGTGAACTTCCAGTGTCTAAAACAATGACGAAGTAACAAAATATTCCAAAGCACCTGGAAGAAAGCGTACCTTAGGATCGGGAATGAACAGATTACAAATTCCAGATGTGTGTCACGAAAATGGAATAACGGAGTTCCCGAAAGCAGCTAGATGTTTCACGCAAGCACTAGTGCTGAAGCAGATTTGGGTGGACAGCCACCCACAGAATGATACACATTTCGTAGAAACCCCTGAGGGAAATTAGTAGAGTTCACAAAATGTCGAGGAACAATGAATTCAGTAAACACAGTTCTGGTTGGATTGTTGCAGTTGAACAGTAATTTGAAGGATCAAACAACTACCAGGAAAGTAAACTACAGCACAGCAGAGCGGATGAGAGAGCGCATTCGATTACAAATTTATGTAGGTGACGTGGAACAGACACAATTACACTTTGAAGAATGGAAAGGAAGCCGTGTCACTATACTTAATAATGATTCTAAACGTACAGACTGAGAAATCTGATGGGATAACACCATCATCGACAGTATGACATCAGTGGGATAACACCGAACCCAAGAATATGATTTCGGAATGGATTCCTAGTCGGCATATTAACATGTGGCGACCAATAACGGGACTTCGACTAAGCCTTGCGAAGACATGCACGCAGTCCCTCTAAAACCAGAAGCTACAGAATACACAATCATCATCATTATTATCAGCTGTAATAACCGCGTACTGGTCGTACACTGGTTGTAGCTGCCGAAGCATTCAGCGTAGTTCGTGAGTATCTGTAAGCAAACGGCAAGCCATCATTTCGATCCATTACTTTCACCAGTACTGCTTCATATGAATTAAGCAAGAGAGGCTTACATGCCATGAGGTGAAAGTTCAAAAAAACGTTTCCAGAAACAAGGGCTAAGCGACCTAAAACGTTTCCAGAAACAAGGGCTAAGCGATCTGACATCCAGCGGTCGGACATCTGAGCCGCTGACATACACAAGACAAGCCAGAAAAATGGGGGGAAAGGAGGAATCAGGTTAGTCTGAAACGGCAGAGGAGAGCCAATCACAACACAACATACATTGTAATGGATTTGCACGATTCCTTTATTACACTGTACTCTCATACTTCACAACATAATAGAGCACTCGGCTACCCACTGACGTAACTCACGTCAGGACATGAAACAACCCACATCTAACGACGGCTGACCTAACGCTAACAAAGTCAAATGTCTGAGTGTGACTATAAGTATTGCAGTTGATCGGTCTGCCCATCGTACGAGAACCGGTGACAAAATGCGGATTAAGCAGACTGTAGAACTGATGGCAGTTATACCAAGATTCGTTATTTTGTGGTGTGAGATCGCATAAATACTGAACGACGAAGTGAATGGGTTGTAAATGCCCCGAGAACACTTTTTTGTGGGTTTTTTGTATCTAGACATTTCGGATGCACATTTCGTGCCTTTAGTGCGTATAAGTTCGGGACAAAGGTGTGCAGATTTCGTTTCAGAAGAGCTTGGTAAACAATCGGTAGTTTTCATTTGAGCAACGTTTCGCTCTTGACACAAAAGCTTCATTTTAAAGCCCCTCACCGGGAAATCTAGTACTTACATTAAAATTCATATGACTTTGCCAACAAAGTAGCAGGTGCCACTGTTGAACCAGATGACATCCTTGTAAGTTTCGATGTGAATTCGTTATATACAAATGTGCCAAAAGGGGCTTCTTTAGAAATAGCCAAGTGACTGCTGTTAGCGGACACCACCCTGTCAGTACGGACACAGCTTACGGTAGATGAAATAGTGGAAGGCATAAAAACATGTCTGAATCTCACCCACTTCGTCTTTGACTCAGTGGTTTATACTCAAGAACAAGGTCTAGCAATGGGATCTCCAATATCCCCGGTTTAGGCAAATATATTTATGGAAGAAGTTGAACAGAGAGCTTTTAGCCGGATTCCCGTACCCACCCAAGATATTCTGGCGGTATGTAGATGACACTTTCCTCGTCATGAAACGGGACAAGGTTAATGAGTTTTACAACCATCTCAATGAACTGAGTCCACAGATCAAACTTAGTATGGAGATGGAGTCAACACCGGGTAAACTGGCCTTCTTAGACTGCATGACACATAAGGTTGGGGGAAAACTAAGACCACAGTGTACGAGAAGCCAGCCGACACTGGGACAGTTTTAAACTACTCGTCTCCCCATCCGAAGTCGGTGTTCGCCAGTATTGCCTCATCAATGTTTAGGCGTGTAAAGGCCCTGTGCACATAAGAAGCTGATCGGACAGCGGCCCAAACTGAGGTAAAGAACAAACTTCGGGATAGTGGATATCCAGCCAGCTTGATTAGGTGTTGATTGCGAAGGGTGTTGGTACCGGTAGCGAAAACCAACAGGGAATGGATCAGGACAGCTGTTATTCCATATAAACCAGGGACATCGGAGGTAATTCGAAGAATTCTAAACACTAATATAAGAGTAGCTTTCCAGAGGGGGGAACACTCTGCGCTCTGCACTGGTGCAGTTGAAGGATCGCCTCCAGGCAAACAGAACCAGCGGCTGTCTACAAAATTGAGTGTCATGAATGCACCAAGGTCTATATAGGACAGACGGCCAGGGGACTACACATCAGAGTCGGAGAGCACAGTAGAAAAATAAACAGGCCGCCGAGAAACGCAGATGAATATCAGGCGTTACTGAAAGACTCGGCGATTGCGGAACACGCACCCGACACGGGACACAAAATAGATTTAGAAAATGTTGAGGTTTTGAGGCGAGGACTACGGTCCACGTCATACAGACTGATCGCCGGGGCGGTACAAATCGCCAAGCATCCCAGCGTTAACAGAATGGAAGGCGTGGAACTGACTAGCGTGTGGAGAACGGTCTTGGATCGCTCGAGCTGCGGTTATCATCTGAAATCCACTTGACCTCAACCCCCCTCAAACTAAATTGTCAGAGCCAACCCAACCCCACAAAGACCAGGGAAAATCTAACAGCGGCACCCGAGGTGAATCACCAAGTGGAAGATTAAGGAACGGAAAGCGAACTAATTTGGTTTGGAACCCCTCCAACCCATCAATTCAAGATTTTGACACCCACACTAACCGACAAGAGCCGTTAATTGACACTCAACACTGATCTAGTTTGAAGAGGACTCACTGATTGGTTCCCCGTTTGTCTTATAACCTGGCCAATTTGGTGACCTGTTCACTTGGCCTGATGAAAGTTTTGTGTCAAAAGCGAAAGTTGCCCAAATAAAAACTACCGATTGTTTACCAAGCTCCTCTGAAACGATGACTTCCCAATCGATTCCAAACTTTTTCCAAATGTGCAGATTTCATTTTGTCACGATGTATGAGTGTGCAATGCGTCCAGCTAAGCCGAACCCAAAGTGGACATGAGTTGTTTTCCACATAAGAAGTGTTTAATACCAACAGAATACTTTCATCTATCCCAGCCGTGGTGAAAAAAATGCGGAAAAGGTATATTGGCAGTAAATGAACAATGTTGCAACAACGTTTCAGCACAATAATTCCAGTTTACTAACCGCCTGAATGCAATTTTAAAGCACAACTACCCCAGACGTTCAAAGGCGAATCAGCCATTGGTAGCTGGCATTTTGTAGATTGATTTGAACTGGTTTGATTTGACTTGAAAAACTTTTCGCACTTATGTGCGAGGAGTCACTCGAGAAATACACTCATTCGCATGACGATTTGGTTTTCACAAGAGACTTCCCTTGCATACCAACTGAATCACTCGTTTCTAGCGTTCTTCTGCAACTGCATGTGCTGCACCAGACCGTTTTAGATTTCAGTTGGTACGAAGAGCATCATGAACAAGATATTCAGATGGTTCGGCTGAGTCTCATGCGGAAACCAAATTGATGCGCAAATGAGTTTCGAATCTCGTGCAATTTGGGTTGAAGCCTAAGGTTGACGAAAACTCAGGAACTACGCCTACACGAAGAACGCCATGAAAACAGAAACCGGTTGCAGTCTGTTGAGGAGTTTTCAGCAACCTGACGAGTAGCGTGTTACATGCCACGGTCTTATAATAGAGCCTTAAAAACTGGAAAATCTCTGGAAAAATGAACCCACGCTCTACTAAACCGTCGTCATGAAGACGGACGTCCTTCTGGCAGCTCACCTGATACATGGTCGACCTGCATGAGATTGGGTCACGTTAGTCAAAAACAGTTTGTCAGAACCATGAGCGTCAAAAATGAAGCAGTTTGGTCTGATAGCCTGATGTGCAGCTGGTGTTACTGAAGCATCCGTTCTATGCTGCTCCACAGTTTCGTTCGCCAAAGTCTGACACACAGCGAAGTAGGTAAGGTCACAAGAACCAACAGGCTGAAGACTGCCCAAGCCAGAATTAGCCATGGATTCACGACGAGTGTAAGGATTCGGGTGGAAAATATAGCAACCAGATGGAGTGGGTGTAGGTGGGATCAGCCAGTCAGTGAAACGGACGGAGGCGTTATCCAGTGTGTCCCATGTCCAATTCTGACGAAAATTGAATGTGATGGGTAAGGTATGAATGACATAATCAAAACAAACATTGAAAGACTGAGACGAAATTGCACTGTAAATGGTTGGAATAATCATAACCATTGGATGTGCAAGCATAAGATCATGCGTGTGACAGATAAAAGCGATTCTCGTTATCCGCAAGATAAAATGTGTATCATGTAAAGAAATGTTTCTGGACATGATGGAATAAAGTTCCAAGTAATTTTTGTTTCAAGCTCTTTCTAAAACCCAGTGTAATCACACTTTATGGCGCAGCAATATGCACATACTTCATCGACAAAGAACACGCGCAACATACTTAGATTATGTACTGGAGTGTGACAGTAACTACACAAAATGGTGACCTACCCCGTAACAATCGGGGCATCTGTTTGTAACCTGTAAACCAGACCAAACGGGTTCGTCAGCAGCCAAGCCTGCACCGCCCATTTCTTGGGGCATTCGGAGCCAAGAGCGTAAGAAACTGGCCTCAAATACGGACGCAACGGATAGAAGGGAAACGTTGTTACCTGGTGTGCTCAACGCTTTGCAATGCTCACTCGATTCCTGGAGGAATTAGAAGAGAAAGGGCAACTCTGTTTAGCATCTAAAAAAGCTGGTGGGGAGTACTGTGTTACCCGAAAGAGGTATGTATGGGAAATGAGAAACAGGCAACTGTCTAAAGGATATCAGTGAATATTCTTGAGGTCATTGCAGGAAGCAGTTGTTTTGGCACCCAATCAACTAAGTGGATAAAAAAATCGTTCAGCTGTAGCACCCTTTCGGTGCCTAGCTGCCATGCCAACAGAAGGAAGCACGAGAGCTAGGATACTGCCAGGTTGTTCAAGCCTAGACAGGGGAAGTCAAGAGGCAGAGGTCAGGTTCGGACTCGAGGTCCAACCACGGAATTTCCAGTCAGTAAATTCGCGGTCTAATCACTGAGCCATCTCGCCACCTACTAGGTGGCTAAAATATACCATTTTTATAATTTGATTCTTTGTGGCAAAGGATCCAGAACAATGGTAAAAAGCAACAAAGTACATCACAACGGTTCATACTAGTCACCAGAAACCACGTAAGTTCATGAAAAATTAGAAACAGTCTATGGGCATTGGGGGACATGTCTGCGTCTGTTTCTTGAATATGCAACACAAGGAAGAAGCTTCATCAATTTGATAGCTAACGGCACCTAGTGAATTAATTCAAAACTGTACAAAACTGCAGTGCACTTTGCACTACACATCTCAGTATACCATTTAGCCAAATGATGGCCATATTAGAGAAGGAACTAGACTACGAGGAGCCCAGTGAAAAGCAGTGGTCACATGGTATTTTTAGTGCTGTTAACTGGGCAGCATCTCGATCGCAACCAAATTCACGCAAAGTTCAGAGGAATGGTTACTGGCCTCTAGGGGTATATGAGGACAGGAATACACTACATGCCTTCTGCTGACGCGTGACAATGGCAAAAGCTTAGTTATTTTCACATTGAATTTCGAAACCAGGACGTACTATATATAATAATAAAACTAGGACAAACCAATGGCGAAGAATGTCGCCGAGGAAAAAAATAGAACCACACCCTTGTACAGAATCGGATATAGGAAGGCGACAGCAGGCCACCCCTTGGTATGCACGAATTCTGCCCTTTGACTTACGACACTGAACGAACCGGCCTCGTGGTTCCGGGGCACTGAGCTACGGGTATTGGTCGCTATCACGCCAAAAATTGCAATACAATGCATACTTGGATACTACGAACTACGATCCCGTGACCGAACTCTCTAGTATTTTGATCCACATGGAGCTCAACATAGTGTTATTGTCACAACCGTAGCTTCTGCAGTTCGAGAGGGCATACTCCGGTCTGAGTAGTCTTAGAGATGACGAAAACCACCTTGTCCAGAAATAAGTCTATTGCGGACGAATGTGGAGTCGCAATTCATGTCCATGTCTGTATTCCAGGGAGTAATTGCGTAATTTTGGTATCATCCTGGTGGACAGCTTTCGAATGGGAATCGGAGAGTTTTCCGTTTGAAATGTGAGGAAGCACGACAGACCACTGTTTTTCAATAGCGGTTACATTCAGAGTGATTAGTGACCTGCACCGATTTATCAACCAAGCATGTGCGGCTAAGTCACATTGCCCATAAAATTTGATGCCACCAAACAGGCGGCGTAGTCAAGAGCTTTGGGTCACATGGGTCTAATAGCTAGATTTCGTCGGGTCACTACCAAAGGCGCCGGATATTCACTGCTTTGGTATGTGAGTTCCTAAAGTTGCCAATATGGAAGTGCGAGCACTAACTCTGGTTGACTATGAAGTGAAGTTACTCACATCGTCGCAGGGTATTGCGGGGATCGTGCTGGAGTTGCGAGGTACGGTGAGGAGAACTCATGGGCCGCTGTAGCTTGAATCACAAGCAGCAGGGCTAATGAGCCAGTCGTTCTGAGAATTCTGTAAACACACAAAACAAACACAGCAGAAATCACCGTATGCAGCTCCTCGCTATAAACGGTGGCCGATGAATTCCCTGATGGAGAAACAACGATGTCTCAGAAGATTCCCCGTCAAAACCACCCGGATAAATGAGCAATCATATTCTGAGGACATTTGACTCAGGCGACGTAAATCCTTTATGGAATCGAGAAGATGATATGGACGTTATAGCCTCGACGCACTAAATATACTTATACCTCTCGAACCGTCATTAGGTTAGTTACTTACCAGCGCAACGGTAAACATCAACAGGCAGAATCCATGAGTACGCGTCGCTAGTCTATCACACACATTATGCTTTTCGCCGCTTTTGTAAAACATATTATGTCGGTTGGCAATTCGTGAGGTAGGATGCCTATAAGTAGTAATAATGCTTACAAGGCGGGGACCACTACCGCCGTACTAGTGTAACGGTGATACTAATGATCGGGAGGCACGCGAGTAGTATGTGTTGTTCGTAGAATTTCACTTTGGGTCGATTGAAAAATGGAATTCTGTTGCGGAATTCGTGGGACCAATGTGGAACATTTGCTTGGATTTGACCAACGAATGGGTGGAGGCATCGAATCTCTAGGAAGACTCGTTCGGGAGAAGATCTGTGTCCAGTTTTTGGAACCAAGATGCAGATTAGTGTTTTGCTTCCCTGTTCAATGGTCTGTAACCGGTCAGTTGGCATTTCCGAATAAATAACTCCACAGCAAGGGTCGTCTTCCTTTCACTAGTAGCTGAGCACCGTGTCCCTATTTGTAACATATCGAATGGCAGTGCATCATTTCGATATATCACAGAGATGTGGCAGTTCACGCACCTGTTTGGACGCATCTGATGGACACAATAGGATCAGCTGAGCGCAATGTCGGCGTTGTACCTACATAAATGAATTTTGCTGTTGTTGAGATGGACTAGGTCTTCCACCTCTTCACCGGAGAAGTTTTCTACGTACCATGTAACATACGTGGCATTTGCATGTCTACGTATAAATTTGTGATGCTTTGCCGGATTTTCGAAGACTCTCCTCGCCAAAATTTCAAAGAGCGCTTGCTAGTTCATTTGTTTCCCAGAGGTGAGAAAACAACATAAGTAGTCGGGGAAGTTGGACGATCCGCTGCATCGTTAACTTAACCAGAGGATTTGGTTTTTCAAAACAGCACATTTATGGTCAGCAAGGACAGACTGAAACCTTCGACTTCCATCGGCCAGACAAAATGAAGTTGACATTGTTAGGTGATTACAAAAAGGTAGTCATTCAATGAATTTCTAAAAAGTGCTAAGGATATTTCTTTATCTTCAAGGAGCTCCAGTTCCAGATGCGTGTTGACCCATCCACGAAAAAGACCGAAGAGATTTTTAACACACGCTGCACCGCAAGCCTTTGGAATCGGTGTGCCGAAATCACTCATACCATATTCTCGCAAGTCTGTGGTTGAGTGACAAAGCATTATCCGATCGACTCTCCCCTGAAACTGACACGTCATTGAGCGGGTAACCACTCTCACACATGAATGACATCGTAGTGAGAAAAACGGCAGTTGTCTCTTTTGACCAACTGAGAAAACTTATGGGAAGAAAGGTGTTCCAGCACATTCCAAACATTCGGATTTAAGAGTTTAGGATTCCAGAAACAATTATAAACACCCATGTAAACAAAGATTCGTACAGAAAAACGAACAGTTCATTGGTCTATCGTTGAGTGCTGCCAACTTAAACAACGGACTAAGTCAGGTAATCTTAACGTTTGAATTGAGCAACTCTGTAATGAGAATCTAAGCATTTGTGGCCAACGAATTTCGGTAAGAGTGCGTTGAGCGTAGCACAAGGCTTTCAAAAATGAATTCAGTTCTGTATGAATCCTTAACACCAATGAATGCTGACTGGCGCCAAAGAGTAAACACATCATCTATAAACACGAAACTCCAAGAAACTCGATAAATCACGAACTCGGCATCAGCAAGGACCGAACGGATTGGCTTCTGAGGTGTTTGGCAGGATTCACTGAACATTGAGGTGCAGATATAGCATCTACTACTCATGAGTAACCACACGCACACCACACCATTTCCGAGAAAACACCGGAGGGGACAGGTTTAGTGGCATAGAACCCTCTTCAAATAAATACCTTCAGAGTAGGATACGACAGGTATCTGTGTTCGAAAAGCTGCTTATTACCTAGAAGAAAACCCCATGATGGAAATATCTCACATCGAATCTACGACACCACTTTACGCGGGCGAAATAATAAGGGCTGCCGATATCCCGCCATGTCAGTAGGCATTTCTTAGAATGCAGTTAGGATATGCACATAGCACTTTTTTCGGAAACGACGCGGATGCAAAAAATTGGGGGTCAGAATAGAGTTGGAAAAGGATGGACGGATATTCATCGAGTTCAATATAAGTGCAGCTGAAATGCAGAAAGATTAATTTTCGTAATAAAATAGATCCTACACTTTGCATTATTACGCTTATTCACAGTGATAAAGAATGATAAACAATGATAAAGGATGTCTGAAGTGTGTAACCTAGAGGAAACAAAACCTTCAACGCAGTTTAAAGAACAACTTAAAATATCTGCGATTTTCAGCTTCCCAGTGAGAAGCATTCAACACGGTTCACGCCACCATTGCTGAATGAGAAGTTTGCGCCGAAAACACGGGCATTTCTGGCCGTAAAAAGCAGACGATATCGTCCATACCCCCTAATTCGGTTTATTCATTACCAGAATATTCATTATTTTCAACAAAATCAACCAAACACTGCCGTACAACCATGACATCAGCACTGTTTGAGGATGGAGGTACGTTCGTAGAGGATCACAGAATTGATTAAATAAAGCCCATAAAGAAGAGCGACTGATTTCCGTTTTACGGAATCACCAAATCTGCAGCTGACTTGGAAAATGCAATGATTTGTACGTAAAACTCAGTGGCTGAATGGTGAAATTGGCATTGTTGTGTATGCTTTCGCACACAGTAGTGTCGCATTACAGACCCCGCGTGGGAATACGTTCGTCTAAGCAAGCATAGGTGTGACCACCGGTGGATGGAACAACAATATACATGTGCGAGCTGAACTCTTTGTATCATCCGGAGTGGAGTAATTTTCGAAGCGGGACTCGGAACAGTTGTTTGACCGCCGTCCACCTCTGAGTAACTCAATTTCATGTGTGAGTGTATTCGGGGTGCAAATCTTCTTCGGAATAACACGAGAAACGATGCAAATGATGCAGTAACGGATAGAATTTCACAAAGTTTGGGTATTTACAGTCCAGGTTGGCGTCAGAAGGGGACTGTGAGACAAGGATACCTTTGCCCACCAAAACTTTCAAAATGGGAAGTTTTTTGTCTTTTTCTAATTCACAAGTGACAAGCTGTTCTGATAGAGTATCAAAACAGATAGCAAGTGTTGCTTATCACTGTATGTGATGAGTAAAGAACAAATCGTGTATTTCCTATCCAAAGGTAGTTATCACCATCTGCCGAGTGTTCAATGTAAGCCAGAAAATACCGGCCAAAGTTGGAACAATCGGGAGTATTCATGAAGTTCCAGTAGAGGAAACTGTTACATGCCTTCACCGTAAGATACCTTGCGATAGACATTATATACATATATATATATATAACAATAAAAGTTCATTACCACACGGAAGACATGGTAGTGTTCAGAATGTCACAGCGCACCTAGTGTCCATTTACAGTCACTTTTACATCTTGACACTACCTTTTGGATACAGGTTTGGCAACAGACACCGGGTGGAGACCACTTCCGCCCAGTTCATGACTGAAATGTGTCTTGAAAACCAACCATCAGAATGTAGGTTAATTTATTGAAACAAAGGTAGTCAAAAGTTCTCTTGTGAAAGAAGAATACTTGGCAGCTGATCTTAGAAACTGTGAAATGCGTACAAACAACGGCCTTTCCGTTCTGCATGCCGAGGCGGTTCCATGTGTTCACAAGCATTTACAAACAAGATAATTGGTGGACAGTATCGAGGTGATATGTTTAACAGTCGCAACCGACAGCTATTTTATATTCACAGGTACCATACGGGATTGGTTGGTGCTGTACTACGTTTCTTAGGCTACTTAGTAGTCGTGTATTCTCGTCGACGCGCAGATGCTACCTCTTAGCCGTGTACGATGCGACGCACATCCACAACAAAATATTGAAAGGTATTCTTCACAGACAAACTAACTACCACGCTTGAGCGCTCTTTACATGTGTCAAGCACAAAATTAGCAAACTAAAATGAATTTCTGCCTACCAAGAACGGAACAGAAGTAGAAGTGGATGAAAAACCACTTATCACTCACCAGTGCTGGTTCCTTATAGGCAGTCGTAAGCATCTATCAACATTTGAACTGTAATTCAAATCGGATACCGTTAACTCACTTGTATTTTCCTGAGATTCCAATATCGACGCTAAAATCGCTAAGCTACCACAGTCTAACTGGACTGATGAAGGACAAGGAATTTTTTGTCTCGGCTTGTTATGCTACTTATACTGATGAAAGTATGCTAAAAACTTTCAAGCGAACAAACTGAACAAGACCCATTAGGTGGGCATGTTCCTCGAATTTCTAGCAACCGTTATCCCACCTGGACTCTAATTCAGATATAAATGAAGTCCAATGCGAGCCGAAGCTGGGCTAAAGTGAGAGGCAAGCGAAGTTTATCTTCGTTGCTGGTTAGTGGCTGACTCTATGACAATTAATATGGAAAGATGATCTAAGATGTCCCAAGGTGTCCCTTCACAAACTCCTAATCTTGTCTTGTTTTATGTACTCCTTCTTCCTGACCAGAATCCATGCATCTAAGGTGAGCATCCACCTTACAAATTCAAGCTGATCTCGTGAAAATATTCGCACTATCAACCTTCAGAGAAACTTCGGAAACGCATGTCACCAAACATGTCGATAAATTCGCCGTACTGAACAGAGACTAGCGCTGCTTTGATCAACCTTTCCGTCTAGTTAGCACGACTTTCCGATAGTTATCACGCATGGCACGGTTGAGAATGGATAATAATCCATTGCTTATCCATAGACACAAGATGGATTTATTTCGGTAGCATTAGATCCGGCACGTAGCTGATACCAGGTACTTAAAAAAGAGCGGTGTCTCACATTAGTAACCGAAGGAACCTGGGTGCCACAGTTGCCACTGGTAGCTAACTTAGGGAAGTTCCATCTGGTCAGTTCCGTTAATCTGTCTTGGATAGGCATTCGCTTTTGAAGTGTACATCTCGAGAGACGTCCCATTAACTATAATAAGAAAATTCGAACTTGGACATTTTGCTCGCCTCCTCAAAATACAAGCTCTTTGAAGATTTGTCCTTATAAAAAATGGCAGACATATGGTTGCAAACTCCTACGTCCTTTTTTGTAAGAAATCTATCAGAGCTCTAGTAAGCTAACCCATTTATGACCACAAGCCTATGGAACGTTTCCGTCCATGTACCTTAATTGGTGTTAGGACAAAGCTGAGTAAGTTCGGAGATGTGACCAGTCATTTGGTGGTTGTTGACATCATTGTTCGATTTTTCACGACTCGTTATAAAAAAGTTCCAAAAACTCTATAAGGTTTAAATCGCCAGACCTTTTACTGCAAGACACCTTATTAGCCGGTCATCGGGAAATCGGCTCTCCTGCAATGGGCAGCGGCCGAACACAAATCACTCTACTTTAAAAGAAAGCGTTGCCACCAGTTCTAAATGGGTATCGTAGAATGGGAAGGGTGATTCAATAACTAGCAGTAGTCAACATTTCAGTTTCCTGTTTTCTACAATGCTACGGACCAAACTCCGTAGTAATTGTTACATTTCGACTGCGAGTTGTGTTGCGAGTCAATATTACCACATACCGAAAAGGTTGTGCTCCAGCTTTGCTTACAGTCATCAGTAGATTGTTTGAAAAAAGTGTACAGAATGATTCGAAGCCGCCACATGTCGAGCAGTAGAATAGCATCGAACGACTAGATATATCTGGTTGGAGGTATATTCTTTATAATTACAAAACAGTCACTGATTGTTCAATAAGAACTGCTTCCTACTTGTGGAAATTATCCAATACTACTCATTTCATGAATCTCGAGGAAAAAAGAATATTCTACACCAATCAAAGACTTCCTCAACTGTTTTACCACACGGCCCACTTCATAGCTTTCTGGTTCATTACTGCTTAATTGCCTCTGTATTCATTTTGGATAGTTCAGAGCGATCAAAATAAAGCATGGACGCACCAAAATACGGGTGATTTTACGAATCTGCTTTGTCCAGTGAACCAGATATTAAAAATACAGCCTAATTCATTACTATTAACGACTGCCTTTCAGGTTCGAAAAACGTTCTAATCATAAAATAATGATGCAGAAAACGATAAGCTAAAAAATCGGTGTATTGGTCAGCAATGGTAACTACACGAATGCATGTTTTAAGACCTACCAACCACCGCACAGTGACCTTGAACCACACACACGTTACTGAAAAAACGGAAACTAAGCCATACGTTCAGGAGGTAAACATAAAGTTGACTGTAGACCACCAAAGAGTGTACAACTATGATGAGTAAGCCAAAACAACACACCAACGACCAAATGAACGGCGGGGTAATTCTGATATTTTTTTTCCATTCTGCAGGTCAGCATCCAAAGCTACTTGTAGTCGGATTAGTGTGGTTTGGTCATCGCTCAGGGAGCATTTGACCTAAATTTTACATTAATTCCTGAACAAGACATATCATTAGGAATCCTGTATCTCGGTTTTTAGAACAACAAACAATAGTCCAGTGAGCTGTCTGCATGCTGTACTTCTTGCACTAACTCGTATTAAAAAATCAAAAACCCAAGTGCAGTTTGAGACCAAAAATCATTAGTCACACTTGTCAACGGTCACAGACACGCACAATAATATGGAGTAAGCCACAGAAGAGACGAAAAAGTGAGGATATTTGATATATAGGTGGTGAGAGGTCTACCACAATACAAAACAACCACGGTATACACCAACATAGACAGTTTGCGGACAGCACACAAGTGGAGTAGTTGTCGTACTGGGTGGAACAGCGCATGCATTTTTTGCATTCAAGTTTGTGTCTGACGACAGTTGTGGAGAATAAATTGACCGCAATCTTAGGTTGTTCAAACTAAAGCTCGTTAGAAAGGCCACTGCTGCAGGAGTGTAAGTATAACATCCATCTCCTTATGATGGTTCTTCCCATGGTGTGAACTGACGGAATATTTGATGAGAACTGAACTCACAGGAGGCCTTCGAAACACAGGAAAACATAATAAGAACTTACTTGAAAAATAAGATATGTTAATGTGAAAAGCTTCGTATATGATCCCAATCGAAAATCCAAAAACCATAGTTTAAAAATGATTGTATCACACAAAAGCGAATGAACAAAACGAAACGGTAGACAAAACATATCAAGCGATGTTTACATATTGCGTCGCTATTTGACCTTGCAGACGAATAATTTTAACGCAACTTAAACATAAATATTGATCCGTTGGGCACCTCTAAGAACTATACCATCTCTTTCGTCCTTCCTTTTAGTGTTGAAGAATTTGCGGTAAAGACAGTATTCGGAGTGGATAAACCCGAACTCAGATATCTCCTGAGATACTTCACAAACGGTACACATGACAGTGGTCTAGTGGGAATCGGTGTGCCAGATAGAAAAAGTGGGTAAGGAACATACCTTCCAGTTCAACTTTTTGTTTGTATTAAGGAGACGATAGCAGACAGGTTGAGAGATTTTCCGGCCCCCGGGTGACATCGGCGAAAGCCCAGTTGTCCCGAGATAGAAACCTGAAGGGCAGCTAGAAGATGTCAATTTAAGGTCATCGGTCCGAACGGGTGGTGGAGAGGCCTGACAAATGCTCGCTAGAAGCACGGGTTTTTCACAGGACCATTGCAGCCATAGACCGTTCAAACGAGGGTAGGTTGAACGATACAGAGCGGTACACATCTGCAAGCGAGAGAGAAAAAGCGAGTAAATAAGGCATTATGAGAAAGCCATTCTGCGTGATACAACAGACTACTGGGGAAACACTGCAACAGAAAATCGAATCGCTGTTAAACAAACCATTCGTTGTGGAGTGAAGACATTGCGTGACGGTACTGTGACAAGATATGATTAGTAAATAATCCACTATGCCTACAATGCGCAGCTACCTCCCCCTCCCCCCCCCAAATCATCGGTGAACGAAACGGCGGCAGTTGCAACCATTGTACGACGAGTACGCAGTTATTACGGCTGACAATGATGATGATGATGACATAGCCCACCAAATGTTAAGTCTGACAGAGTGTGTGTAAGAGGTCAATCTCAGGATCCGATGGACTTGAGTGTTTTTGGCTACATCCTTCCTGCTGCCGTGCAGTCCCCACGGCGCTGTGCTAATTCTGGACGCGCCTCTCGAACAAAGGTCGTGAGGCGCTGTCGACAAATTCACGCCATGTCATGCTGGTTTTTCAGATACAAACCTTTGTTGATGCAACTGGAATTATTCAGTCGTCAACCCGTCGCGAAGAGGCTGAACTTTGCCGTGGTGCGACGGCTGCCGGTTGAGCCATAATGGCGGGTCATCTGTAGCGAAAGACGGTAACTAGATTGAGACTGAGTAAGAGGTCTTCAATGAGTGCAACGTAGGTCTTATTCTGACTGGCCTGATTCTTCTGGATGTACCCAGTTTGTTTTCGTCGTGTGTGTATTTCAGCTTTGTGTCGAACTCATGGTGACGTCGATCTTCTCATTGTAAACCACTTAATTCCTAGGATAGTGGATCAAATGTCTGGTTATCGGTTCGCAGTGTTCTCTTCAAGCTAATGCATCCGTTGGATAGGAGCTGCGTTGTTTTTTATTCGCCAGAGAAGATACGAATGCTCCACTTTCACATTATCAATCTTCCCCTTTTAAATCCGCTTGTTTTGAACGCAGCGGCACCATAGGCACCGAAAGGGTGTTACAGCCGAAGGAAAGAAGTTTTCAAGTCATGGACTTGGTAGTCGCCGTTCGACGCATGACTAGCCGAAAATGACTGCAGGGCAGCGTAACTTATGGACTGTGACCAGTTGATTTTCCGTGAAATCCCTTCGGTGTACCTCAGCATTACTGACCTGTTGTTCCCATCAGACCCGGTAAATGTTTCATTGGCTCCACTGATCAAGCACATGGTTTTTCGAAGGCAGCGTTCACGCCTTTGATCCATGAAGCAAGATAGACCGAAACGCAGTAATGGACACACTACCGTCGATAGCCAGAGTGAAAGTCACTTCGACGGAACAAACGATGAAGGTTAGCAAACGCTACCCTGACCTTTCATATCTGAAAAGTGACCTCGCATTTCGGCAGTCCACCGCAACTTATCCAGCCGCCCAGAGAGTTGAACTTATCTACTATGTCGATCGGTTTATCTGCAAGCACGAGGTTCTGATTGGCAAAATCATCAGCGTACTCAATATCCACGAGGTGATGGAGGCACGTAAAAGAGACTCAGGCAGCATATAAGTTGCGAAGTCGAAAGTGAAGGGGGGAAAGAGCACTTGGAAATCAAGATAGAGTTTACTCTAGACACGTACGTGTCCACAGAGGAAGAATATACAACCTTTATGATGGTCGACAAAATCAAAAACAGCTCTCGGATGGTGAAAAACTGTCATTGTTGTTCGTTGGAGGACGCAATTGTCAAAGCCACGAGGCAGCGGATGTTAGAGTTCTCTTGACAGAACCTATTCAGAGGCAATGACTCAGCCTTCTGACCCGCTTGGCTGCAAGGTTTTGTGTGACGCGGAGGAGCAGAGTAAGGTATAGATGCTTGACTTTTGATGTTGCTGCGCGTAGCGGATGTGTTTGGAACCACATCGGACTCATGACAAAGTTTATTTTTTCCCACCGTACTGGATAATTCGCCAGCGATCACGGTCGACTGCACGGAGTGTGTGGGTTTTAAGGCCGACCTTTTCCAACTCGTCCCTCTCACACTTTCGCCCTGTTAGAGTTTACAGACCCTCGTTATACGACTTCTCACAGTACGGGGACTGATTTCCAGCTGGTATAACCTACGCGATTACACCATCCACGACGTTGGAATCACAGCCTTAGGTCGTGCTGCCTGCATCATATACCATAGAAATC